TTATAGGCCTAAGTATGTATAGGATGCACATACAATATTTAATGAGTGAACATTCATGGATGAATGTTCATCGCTTAGGGAAATACAATGTACGGTCAATGGTGAATGTATGATGAATTAAATGAATAAATCTTCATGAATGTATCTTCATGGTCGAATCCTTCCTCCCGTGTGTGAACATGTTGATTTGTCTTCTTTGGATGAATGTTCATGAATGTACCTTGGCTGAAATTCTTTCCCTTAGTGTAAATAAGACCATTTGGCTTCTTGCATAAGTATGCATGAATGGATGAACTTAAAAGCCTTTGAATGAAACCTTGAACCTTCTCAAAAATGTGTTGATTCTTTTTAATATTATTTTCTCGTCCATACATGTCTCCATTAATGCCTCTCATGCTTAAATCTTTTGAAGGAGATGAATGATTGCAAATCCCGTATTAATTTCCAGTCTGCACTGTCTTCAGTTATCTGGGCATATCTCGAGCTCCCAAGATCAGATTGATTCGATCAAAAGTTCATTGGAAATCTAAGAGATATAGGATTAAATGTTAAGAAGATTTCGTCACCCAAAGATGCTTGGAACATGTTCAAAAGTGTCGATCAATCTGACTGACGTGAACTGTCCAACCAACTCTTCAACTGCCTTTAGTCTTCTTAGCTTCCAATGTACCTAGACAAAGTTTGTAAAAAAGTAATTAGATAGGAATTGAACCATGATAATTATGAGTGCATGCTTCCACCTATGTTACGAATGCAAATGAGCTAACTATGAATGCATATGCATTGAATGATTTATATAAAGATGTGAATTAATAAGTCATGCATGAATATCATATATTATACATATAAATGACAACATATAATATTCAAGCATGATTAAGAATAAGATAAGTATATTCACGTGACATGTGATGCATAAATAAGTAATAAAATAAGGTAAGACTCCTTTAGAATCAACAAGGTAGAACGCCCATGAAGTAATCATGTGTTGAAGAAGTTTGGTTCACTACAAAAAATTTCTACTATTGTGACAAATTTAATTTTGTCAAAATTAATTTTGTCACTATTAGTAGTTTTTTTGTGACAAAATAAATAATCATCGCATTCGATTAAAAAAGATATACAACTATGACAAAAACTAAAATTGTCATAATAATTTGTCCCAAGTAGCAAACATATGTAACGTATGGTGACAAATTAAATTTTATTACAAATTTTTGTCACAAATGTTTCCCTCCAATTTTTTGGCGTCAAATTAAAGGTATATAGTGAAAAATTTTATAACTAAAGGTTTTAGTAACTATAACAGAAACAATTGTCACAACAAATAATGAGATTTAGATTTGTTGTGACAAATTTTGTTTGTGATTATATATTTTAATTATAGTGACAAAATGTATAGTCATAAATAATTATCTCCAATTTTTTGTACAAAAAAAATCATATAGTGACAAGATTTGTAACTATAAGCTATAATTATTGTTACAAAAAAAGTACAAAATATATTGTCACAGATTTTCCTCCATATGTTTTGCGCAAAAAGCTATATATTGACAAATTTTGTAACTATAATTGTTAATAATTATTACAAAAATATTGTCACAAAAAATAACGATATTCAAGTTTTTGTGAAATTATATTTGTAGTTATAAATTTTTGCTATAGTGGTAGCATATATTGTCATAACTATTTTCTCCACTTCTTTGTTTCAAAAGTTATATTGACAATTTTTATAATTATAATTTATAGTTATTGTTATAGAAAAAATTATCACATCAAATAAAAAAATTTAAGTTTTTTGTAATTAATTATTTTTGTACTTATATATCTTAATCATTATAAAAAAGTACACAATGAGAACCATTTCTCCCTGTTTTTAATGTTAAAAATGTTATATAGTAACAAAATATATTGTCATAAATATTTTCCTTCATATTTTTCCCCAAAAAAAATCATATAGTAACAATTTTTGTAACTATAAGTGTTTATAATTATTACAAAAAAAATTGTCACAAAAAATAATGGTATTCATATTTTTGTGACAAATTGTACTTGTAATTATAAATTTTAATTATAGTGATAACATATATTGTGATAAATATTTTTCTCCATTTTTATATTGTGACAAAAAAGCCGGTAGAATTGACATCGATCGCAAAGCACTCGATCATTTTGGTATGCATGGCAAGTTTCTAAGTCCATAATTGTCTCAGGATTCAATCTGCACACCACCCTAAACCAACTTGGTAGTTCGTTGTAAGATGCATTCCATTTGCCGTGAAGTTTTTTAATGGCATTATGTTTTGCTTTCCTGTATGAGATGGTATACCCATACTAAGATTATATATCTGAAATCAACACAACAATAGCTATATGAGAGCTTGCTTTTACCATGGGAATAATGGCTTGGCATATCATATAAGAGTCCAAGTTGGGATGAATTCTGGTTGATCCCTTTAGCATAGCATGTGTGAGGACTGTTGTATATCGTTAGTTCCCATATATTGGTTTTCCTCTTCCTCTTTGATACACGAACCATCCAATTGCATCCATTATCATGTTGGGCACAGTGGCAGACATACTTTTCAGTGGTAGAGTTGTTGACTCTGAACTGAACAGAATTACGAATATTGTAATTCTTAATTGCCATCATTGCTTCTTCTTTGCATTAAAACTTCATTCCTTTATATAACTCACCATCATTGACTGATGAGTTAAATCCATAGTCATCGACATTAGGCATATCTTTAAATTTTGGTCCGTACATTAAACCATAGTCACCTTTATACATTTGTGTTTGAGGTTTAGTGTTTATCGTATTTGTGGGAACTTCATCTACATCATCATCATCATCAGAGTCTATGTTGAATAGCGATGATTGTGGGTGACCGAATAGTCCAGTCTCAGCATCATTCGCACTTGGCTCACGTAGAAGTTCTTTCTCGTGGAGATGAGGGTTCCTCCACGTGTCGACATTTAGCTCGAACAAGCTAGTAGTTGCATGCCTTCCCCTTAAACTTAAAGGCATCTCGACATTGAGGTGGAAGAAACTCTCAGTTGAATGCCTCCCCCTAAAGCTTGAAGGCATTGTGTCAAATGGGTACTACACAGATTGCTGCGTCGAGGGCATCTCTATATTTATTTCAAAGAAATTGGAAGATGAATGCCTTCCCCTTGAACTAGATGTGATGTTGCCATACAGATTGTTTGTGGACCCACCTCAGTACAGATCGTAAGAAGTTGCTGATGAATGTCTCCCTATTAAACTTGATGGGATGGACCATGATGCAGAGTTCCCATTATGGCGTTACAATCATTACATATTATTGTAGCAGGTCTGTCAAATTGATCAGCTTGTTGAGCCAGTCCATAGTGGGAGGATAATGACATACCACAAACAACACGCACTTCAATAAATTTTGCATACATCTCTATATCGGAGTCTGAATAATGATTTTGAGATTCAACCATCATTGCAATATCGTCATCATTCAATAGTTCGAACGTTGTATAAGTTAACAGAAACACCGATGTTGGAAATATGTAGTGAAGTGATGACAGTCTTCTAGTACTTTCAACATGAACCTTCTTTGATATCTTCATTATCAGCTCCTCAAGAGTTATGTTTCTCTTGAAGAATATTTTGACAGAATGATTTGATGCGAACACAACGCTGGTTTCATCTTCCCGAATTTCTCCATCACAGTAAACAATACTTGAAATACGCGTCATTCTGAGAGTTTGAAAGATTGAGAGTCTTATATATGCAAAAATAATAGTTGAAATACGCCTAATCAAATAAATAGTATATGAATTAAAATATAACCTAATAAAAATTTAAAAATATTAACAATAATTTTAATAATATAATTTTATATTATTAACGTATCAACAAAAATGTCTCGTCGTATGATCCCACTTTCCAATTTTAGGACCATAAAAAATAATAGAAAATAATTAGTACATTAATTTTTTTTAAATAATCATATATACAATAAATTTAATATATTAAAAAAATTATCTTATAACAAAAGATCGAAGGAACTGGTGAAACAAATATAGGAGAAATTGATGTGGTGATGTTTACGGTTGAAGGGGGTGTTATTTATTGGTGAGAGGAGAGTTTAAAGGTCGAGAAATTCGGAACCAATAATGAAATGCCATCCGTGACTTTCTGGCGCATGTCAGAATCTATCATCTGTGCTTTGTTAGAAAGGATGCTAGATCTGTAAAATTTTATTAAACGTTGACTGGCAGGTGATTAATTCCTTTTAGGGTGATTTTTGAGTAAAACGACTATAATCTAAGATGATAAATAGAATAAATGGTTATGAGAATACATCTGACACAAAATGAGAGATTACAATCTTATCATAATATTATATTACAATGTAAGCTAAATATAAAAAAAACTATCTTAAAATTTAATATTATGTCGTGTAATCTTAGATAACACAAATTAAATTCTTTTAAAGGTAAGTGAAATATAAAATTATGAAAAAACTAAGTCTTTCACGTGTGAAAAATACAATCAAAACTTCAACGGAGTTCAACGCGTTCCTACACTAAATATTTTGTGTCAACACGAAGAAATATTCAGTGATAGTAGGTGCAGCGTATAGTAGACTTGATCAAGCCGTCAACCAAGAATTACTTGATAAATTATTTCTTTTAGCTTTTGGAGACAAACAGCCATTTATTTATTATTTCATTTATATATATTTAAATACATTTAAATAAATAATTGTAGATATTAATCAAATTAAAATTAAATTGATATTATTTATAATTAAAATAATTATAAAACAACAGTGCAATTATTTAGAAAAAAAAAACTATATACGAGGACCAAAATCAAAGGTCCTATAATTTGACCAGATCCCACCAATGTCTGACTAATGATTTTAATTATAATAATATATAGAGGAAGGCAAAGGGATTTAGTCCCTATAAAATGGGCTCTAATAGCTTTTATTTTAGATATTGATAACTTAGAGGTTTAACAATGGCGACTTCTTCAATTTTCGTAACCACTTGTCTTCTTGTTCTGAGTCTTCTTCCACCTTGTACCCCGGCTAGATCCTTTCCAACAGGTAATAATATAACGTTTACAAGTTCACTATGGTAAAAATCTTTAGAACAAATTCTCGAATAATTTAATATTTTTATTGATAATCTATTTTAATTTTGTAAACTTTTTCTTTAAATTTTATAAGTTAATTCTCTCAAATGTTATATTTTGTATCCGTCCCTACAGTCATATGAATGTGAATATGAAAACTGTATGTGGAATTGAAGTTTTTCATTTTTCTATATAATCGTTAATATGAAAAATACCATATGTTTTGTGCAGTGGGGAGTACATGCAATGGCTTAATTTCCATGGTTACCGACTTAGGAAAGAAGATACCCAAATCGCCACCGTCTCCATCACTGGCGCCGTCGAAACATCAAGGAACACATGATGAGCCTGCATGGGGTTCCACGGTTTTCAATTTCGGAAAGACCCCAAAATCACCGCCGTCTCCAAAGCCAGCACCATCGAGACATCAAGCAACAATTGGGAAACAATTATTGGAATCCATAGTTCTTAATCTCGGAAAGACCCCGAGGTCACGGTTTTCAATTTCGGAAAGACCCCAAAATCACCGCCGTCTCCAAAGCCAGCACCATCGAGACATCAAGCAACAATTGGGAAACAATTATTGGAATCCATAGTTCTTAATCTCGGAAAGACCCCGAGGTCACCACCGTCTCCTAAGCCAGCGCCGTCAAAACATCAAGGATTAATCGAGCAGCCGACGCAACAAAGTTGGTCGACTCCAGATTTTCAGTTTAATCCCACGGCGACTGATCTGCCAACGCCGGCACCACCAAAGGATCAAGAAATAATCGAGCAACTGATACAACAGAGATCATCTCAAGGTTTTCAAGTGGCCTCGTCATAATCCTTTTTAGATTTCTTACCAACAGAAGATGATAACCTGATCCATTAGTTTGATTTATGTAAATAAAGATAGGTTTGTGACAACATTTGTAGTCATAACCCGCGCAAGCGAGGTTCTCTTATTCCACATCTCAGCTATATTAATGGAAAATTGATAAAACTATCAACAAGTTACAAGAGTACAAGTGATAATGAAGTATAAATTTTTTAAGGTTTGTAAGATAAAGTGTACGACTGATTAGATTTGATCCGTCTGGATCAAACCTAAAAAGTTACACTTGATTGAGTCGGTGTTATAGATTAATTGAGTGTGAGGTTGTTAGATTTTGAGTTCAAATCAGGATGACAACTTAAAAGGAGTTTCGATAATATTTTTTTTTATATACGAACATTATTTTAATATTTTTAGTGGGTATATACATTCGTAGGATCCTTATTGAGTATTTTATTGAGTATTTTCAGTACGTAAACTCAGTTCAAATATTTGTCATTTCATATGATATTTTAATTATTGAGAGGTGGAAAAAATAACAACTTACAGGGAAGGAGAAATGTATTATTCACTTGCTAGAAATATTTTATCACATACAACACTTTATATATAGGTTGTAAGTGACTATTAGACTCAATAAAGTACACTCATGCATCTAAGCATTTGCACGAATCAATGGACTTTGGTGGTAAAAGAATCGTTGTTATTCCTTAAGAGTTGGGTTCGAACACCAGGAATGCCTAGAGTGTGAGTGTTTAATGTCAAATAGTTTAGAGTTATCTTTGAACAGATACTATCTTGTATGACATGTGTCGTTTTGCTATCAAAAAAATTCGGCTTCTTAATAATAAATAAATAAATAAATATTAGAATAGAGAAGCAGGGTCAGTCCACAGGGACTCTGGAGTTTCTAATGAAGTGAACTTTCTGATTTTGATAAGTATGAGATAAGGTAGAGTTTTGGATGAGATTCAATGAGGGGCATAAAAATTGTTTTAAAATAAAAGATAAGGATATAATAAATAAATTTAAAGCGATTGAGATAAAGAAAAACTTATGTTTAAATTAGCCTCAAATTCAGCTTTTGCCTCGATTCCAGTTGAGCACCGGAATAAATTTTCGCTTCGGTTATTTACCGGTTACAGTCTAAGGGCCCAACCCTGTAACTTGTTTTTCTCTCTTGTGAACCGATAACCCAAAATCTATTTTTGGATATTAGTCCTTTACGGAGACTAACTACGACTATCGTCGTTAGCACCAACCTGTTATATAGATCTGGAAAAACCCAACTCGAACTATGTTGCCTAAATGAAAATTGAACCTGATCTCAATTTCCCTTAGCGGACCGATGCTAAGTGTGTTCGCAGGAAGTCGAACTTGCTACTAGCCGATTCTTCCTCCCAACTATAAATAAGAACAACTTCCGAACCAACGTGCTCTTTTTGATTAAAAAACGTTTTGATTTTAAAAAGCTAGGTCGATTACCAATCTTATTCCTCCAGAAAAATGAGAAAATAACTTGAAGTTATTTTAGTGCTTTTCAATCCTCACAATAGGGATTGAGTCATCGCTTCAGCCCTTGACTATGGAGAAATTAGCTAAGTATGACAATCATACTTAGCATCTTTGAAAATAAAAATAAAAACAAAGAAAAACTTTGAAAAAGATAAGAAAACTTTTATTAAATAAAAAAAAAAGAAGATTGAATTTTAAATGTGTTTTTAGGTTTACCCTGAGAGGGTATTTATATCCTTCAAAATCTTGAAAACAAGGAAAAGATAATTCCTAAAATAAATAAGAAATAAATCCTAAAGGTAATTCGTAAACTATAAAATCCTAAAAACATGGACAATATAAAAGACAACTCTTAAAATATTTAAACTAAAATCCTAGATATAAATGTGGAATAAAAGTAATCCTAAAGATAATTCCAAATGTTTTATTAAAATTCAAACTTTAAATCTCCTAAGATATCTCTGTCCGTCCTTCCAAAAGGTGTTGACTAGATCTTCTAGAAAACTGCTACTTACTGAACCTTCTAGAAACTGTCACGTCAAACTGTGACATGCCCAGAGTCGTACCCATGTCTCCAGTCGTGACCAAATAATAAAAAAAGCAGAACGTGCCCTTTTCTTTCTTTGTCAATTCTCATATTCGATGAGGGAAGGTAGAGGTCACAATAATCATCCAAGTCAAGACATTAATCAAATGAACATCACCAATTGGAACAAGTTAAATACAATTGTAACATTCATTCATTCATAAATATCAGTGCCACATAACTCAACATCTTACCAGGATTCACTCGAAGCACTCAATGTGTTTGGGGTATAGAAACGCTCAATGTCAGAACCGACACGTTATTACCATAGTCCTGCAAGTAAATCAAATCTCCACTACTAATAAGAACAAGATGCATAAATAAAATGGTCTTTTATTGGTTGTAACGGGGCTTAGGTAAAGGTGGGGAAAAAAGGCTAAAAATATGGCTAAATTTCAAGACAATGAACTAACAAATAACATCTTCAACTGCATCAATTGACTAAGTACCATCAAACAACACATTTCCTTTCGAATTGAATTGAACTTTTCCGTACTTTTGTTGTTGTTTTGTTTTCCCCTTTTTCTCATGTATTTTTCTATTTCATTTTCTTTCTTTCCTTTTTTTTTTCTTTTTTGAACTGCTTTTTTTTAAACTAAAGAAATGTTTTTTTTTCTTTTAAACATGACTTCCTTTCTAACACCACAAATATTATTCTATTTATGGAGCATGATCATACATCGGATAAATTGTTCACTTATCCTGAAAAGGGTAGAAAGAGGGATAAAATAAAACGGTTTGAGTTTATAAATGTGGTGAAAACAAAGAATGGGAATAGGCTCAAGAGTGGTTAACTAGGGGAAAAGGCATGGGTAGGCAATTTACTGGGGGAAACGAAGTGGTTAATCCTAAGGTGCCCAAATCATTTTTAAGCATCATGTTTGTGTGTAATCTTGATAGTATTTAAAACGCATGTTCTAGAATACCAATATCAAATTCGACATATTCAATTCAACAAAATGAGAGCAAAATGACACCAAAATGTTTTCATGCATTGAGCTAAGCACATTTCAACCAAAAAATCATGGAATATCACAAGAGTACCCACTTGATCACAACTTATCCTATCCTCTATCAATAATATCTTAACCGAAACAATTATGTGTTCCCAAACAAGCATGTCATACCAAAAACATTCAACAAGACAAATAGATTCAATGGAACTTTCCGTAAATCCAACCAACACATACTAACATCAAAACATGGAGATAAGCAAAGGAAAATTCAACCTAGACTTTACTCCCCCTCACTTAAGGCGTTTTGTCCCAAAACGTAAAATTAAAATACGTGAGAAGGAATAGAATACTACCCAGATTTACTGTTACGATCTTCACTACTCGAGGGGTCTGATTTTTACACTGTCCGAATAAAGATTTCCAAATCCTCCTTAAAGATTGATTTAAAACATATGGTACCTAGAAATTAAAAGAAAAATTAGAGGAAATAAATTACTAAACGAAAATGATACAAATAAATTAAAGAAGAAGAATTGAAAATGGGTTGCCTCCCATAAAGTGCTTTTGTTTAACGTCATTAGATTGATGACCTTTTTTTTCTTCAGTATTTGGGTTCCTCCATTTCGATTTCTTCGATTAGACCAACCGGAGTATTCTCGTAATATGGCTTCAACCTTTGACCATTAACTTTAAATCGAACTCTTGAGTTATCTTCAACTTCAATAGCACCGTGAGGAAATACTTGAGTTACTGTAAACGGTCCGAGCCATTTTGATCTACGTTTCCTTGCAAAGAGTATAAATTTGGAGTTAAATAATAAAACCTTTTGACCGACATAAAATGTTTTAAAAGAAATTCTACTATCGTGGAATTCTTTTTTTTCTTTAAATATCCGAGCACTATCATAGGCGTTTCTCTGGATTTTCTCAAGTTCCTAAATATGTAATTTATGAGTCTCACCAACTGCATCCATGTTCATGTTACACTGTTTAATTGCCCAACATGCCTTGTGCTCCAATTCAACCGACAAATGATATGTTTTATCGAAAACAAGTGGGTATGGAGACATACCAATAGGACCTTTATAAGCGGTTCGGTATGCCCAAAGTGCATCAGTTAATTTTAGAATCCAATCCTTACGGTCTGGTTTAACAATTTTCTCAAGAATTGTTTTTATTTCTTGATTCAATGCTTATGTCTGCCCATTTGTTTGTAGATGGTAAGTGGTAGTAATTCTTTGAGTTACTCCAAATTTCTTCATCAGAGATTCGATTACTCGGTTAATGAAATGGGTTCCTCTATCGCTTATTATAGCTTGTGGCGTGCTAAACCTGGAAAAGATAGATTTTTCAAGAAGTTAACTGTAGTTTTGGCTTCATTATTCCGGGTAGCCTTAGCTTCCACCCATTTAGAAACATAATTAACAACCAAAATTATATAAGTATTTCCAAATGAAGAAACGAAAGGACCCATGTAATCGATTCCCCAAACATAAAAAATCTCACAAACTTTTATCGGATTAAGTGGCATCCGCTTCTACGGCTTAAATTACTTCTACGTTGACATCTTTCACAAGTTTTACAAAATATATAAGAGTCAAGTTAGGCCAAAATAAACCACATTCAATATTTTTATGAGGTGTACGTTTTGGCCCTAAATGACCACCACAAGTGTGATAAAATTGTAAAATTGAATTCACCTCATTTCAGCGATACATCACTGAATCACCTGATCCGAGCAGTGTTTTCATAAATAAGGATCATCCCAAATATAATATCGGGATTCATGCTTAATTCGATTGACTTCAAATCATGATGAATCCAATGGTAACTTACCTGTGGCCAAATAATTGACCATATCCGTAAACCATGGAGTTATGCTTTGCGCCACCATCATATTTTCTTCAAGAAATTCTTCTCGAAGTGGTGGATCGATTATGGAAAGGGGAATTC